TTTCCCGTATTTAAAATATTGTCAAAGTGGTCCTTAAACTTATTCAATATTTCAACCGGATCGGTCAGAATATTGTTATTATCATCCCTAATTCCAGACGTTACGGGCCCTACATATTTACGTGATCTGTTTATACCTTTGTACATGTCTCTTACGTTATTTTCGATTCTATTAGTTTCTATTTCAATTATTTTATTTTTAAGATACTCCCTTTTTTTATTTTTGAGCAATTTTGTCGTTCCGTTCTTTGAGATTCGGTAGTATTCCAGATTGTCTTCGCTAGGATTATTGAGAGCTTTTAATTTAGCGGCTTTTCGTTTTTCACACATGTTTAAGCAATCTTCATCAAACCACGGTTTGTTATTCTTAGTTTCCTTTTTTCCTAGGCACGAGTTACCGACCGCTTTTATATTATCCCTGATCTCTACCCATAACTTGTCAATATCCTCGTGGTCCTCGTCAGGAAGCTCTAAAGCTTCAAACCTATTCTTAACATCTAGCTCGAATTGGTTTCTAATGGATGGATTTTTTAATTTTTCCAAATTAAAATTCTCAAAATCGAAACGGTTTTCTTTTCTCTTTTTTATATTAAGTTTTTGTCGAAGTTTCGGGATTACTAATTCATGATCCGACCCACATTCTGCTCCGCGATAAGACCGTACATTGATTATACTGCTTTGCCAGCTGTGTTGTATCAAGACATGATCTATTTGATTTCGTGTTTGCGAATCCGGTGATGTCCAAGTATATTTATGAATATCCTTATGTTTAAACGTCGTACTTTTAATTATCAGGTTTTTCGAGATGGCAAAGTTTATCAGACGGATCCCATTATCATTACTATATTCGTGCAAACTTTCTTTACCAATCGTCGGAATATAAACCTCTTCCCTTCCCACCTTTGCGTTCGCGTCACCTACAATTATTTTCATGTAGTTTCGCGGTAGTTTATCATAAACCCATTCGAGTTTATCGTAAAATTCACTTTTGACTTCATCGTCACTGTCTTCGGTCGGACAATGTATGTTTATTAATGCGATTTTAAACCAACGTCCCTGAAATATAGCTACCGAAATTCTATCACTAAAGAATTGTACGTCGCTCAAAGCGGATAGTAATCTACTCCTAATTAGAAACCCGGTACCTAAACAATGATTCCCGCTTCCTCCGTACCAAATAGTGTACTTTCCTTCCCTCATCGAGCCCTCCCCTGGCCAGCGAACCTCTTGCAGAGCCACGACATCCAAATTGTACATATTAACTTCATTCACGACCCATTTTAATCCCCCTGCTGTGTTTAAAGTCATTACGTTCCACGTACCAATATTTAAATCCCTATTTTTCAACTTGTGCCATGAATCCCTAAGGCAGTCCCCACCCGGAGACCCGAACGGGGGACTAGTTTACCTCCGGATAATGAGCGTTTTACCTTAGGGAGATCCATGACTTTTTGTGGTGTTTGGTGAACTAAAGATATGTGAGTAGGGCGTTCAATCCTACGTCACACCCTCCAGCAAGTTTGGAGGGTCCCTCTCATTGTTGGTCAGCGAGTCCATCGGACTTAGCCGGGAGGAACTTCCAATCAATTTCCACCGACCATCCCCACATCCGCCACCCGTGGGACGCTTCCCACACGCGGTAATGAGCCCGCGCGAGGTACCAATGAAATGGTACCAATAATATATATATATATATATATATATATATATATATATATATATATATATATATATATATATATATATATATATATATATATATATAGGTCCTATCTAGAACACCTATTCCCTTCACCTCTTTATCGTTCCTTTTTCTCCCACTCATTATACTCCCACTTGCAGGTCCGACACTTGACTAGATTTCTATATTATAGACTCTGCACAAAACCTCCTCTCCTCTTCCCAACTGCCAGTATCCTTTTTGTCATCTCACGATCTGATACAAATAATATATATATATTATCTGAACTCCTCCTATTCAGCCTCGAACTATCACCTTCCGCCATCTAGATTTCCTTACACGAGAACAAATATTACCTGACCTGGAAATCCTAGATTGGAATAAAATATATTCTTGCACTTCTATCGACTCTATGGTTGATATTCTTACTACCAATCTCCTCAATATCCTCAATACCCATGCCCCTCTCAAAACCTCTACATTTCGTCACCGGCCTGCTCCTTGGATGTGTCAGGAAATTAAAGACCTGCAGAAGAGGCGCGACGCTGCTCGTAGACGCTTCAGACGTACTAGGCATGCAGATGACTACTAAGCGTTCAGGGTGCTTCGCAACCTGACACAAACAAGGACCCGATGGCATCCCTGTCAAATTAATAAAATTATGTCTTCTTGAAATCCACCCAGTTCTTCTTTTCATCTACAATTTCTCCCTTCAGAATTCAGTATTCCCTACATCTTGGAAAAAAGCCATTGTCCTTCCTTTGAATAAAAATTCTAATCCGACCTCACCCGAAGATTTCCGCCCGATCTCAATTCTTTCCAACCTCTCAAAACCCCTAGAAAGATTGGTGCAATCCCAAGTCTCCAACTTCCTTGAAAAGTCCAACCAACTTGATCCTCTCAAATCTGGTTTCCGTCCCAGCTACTCCACACAATCTGCCTTAATTAAAATCACCAGCAACATTCAAACTGCAATAGATGATAAAAAGTTAACTATCCTTATCCTTCTCGACTTCTCCAAAGCCTTCGATTCCATTAACCATTCCATCCTTTTCAACAAACTGAAATTATTATCCTTCTCCAATAGTTCCATCTCTTGGTTCAGTCTTTCCTTTCACAACGTACCCAAGCAATCTCCATACCCAACCAACTACTATCTGCCTTCCTTTCTTTATCCTCTGGTGTTGCCCAGGGTTCAAGCATATCTCCTCTCCTTTTCAGCTCCTGCATTAACGACCTACCTAATTTAATTCTCCATTGTTCCCACCACCTTTATGCAGACGGTTTACAGATGTACCTATCATTTTCCCCTCTTGAGTTACTGGGGGCATTTGCCAAGATCCAAGAAGACCTAGATCGAATCAGTGCCTGGGCAAATGTAAATAGATTAAGGTTAAATGCTGCCAAAACTCAGACCATTGTCATTGCTTCCAAGACCCTTCTTAGATCCTATACAGACTTTCCCATTCTTCACCTTAATGACCAGTCAATCTCCTTCTACTCCTCAAACTATTCCATCACTTCCGCCATCTCCTACCTCAACATACGCGTAGACTCCTAGTTTCCTCTCTCATTTTCCCCCACTTTGGCTATAGCTGTGTGGTGTATGATGGCCTCTCTGTGGAGCTCCGCGATAGACTGAAAAGACTAATGAACAGCTGCGTAAGATTTGTGATCGGGGCCCCAAGATACTCCCATGTTTCTCACCACTACGCTGAGTTAAAGTGGCTTTTCCCCTCCTTCCGAAGATAATATTTCCTAGGTACGTTCCTCTACTAAATCATCAACAACCATCGTCCTTCTTACGCCTACAACCGTCTCCAGTTCAAATCCTCAATCCATTCCCTGTCCACAAGATCTCGACATTCTAACCTTTAAATGCCTTCTCACAGATCTGCCTCATTCCAAAATTCCTTTATTGTTCGCTCTGTCAATTTCTGGAATTCCCTCCCTATCAAAATTCGACATTCCCCATCCATATCCACATTCAAAACCCTCCTATTCCAATTCCTATCCCAGAAACAGTCAGATAATTGCAAACCATTCGAGCTGATTTTAATAGAGAATTTGATACATTTTTATTTTTTAATTCTTTATTATTTTCTTAAAAGTGTATAATGGTCTATCAGTGCAAATAGCTTTAAGTGTCTTGTCATAGTATTGTTTTGTATATAGTTTCGTTTTTTTTTTGTATATAGAATGTTTACCTTAAATACCAAATACCAATACCAAAAAATACCAAGTGCAATGATTTTATGTAATTTTCTTATATTATATTAAAACATTTTTAAATTAAAACTGAAAATTAAATCAAAAGCGACAAGGGCTATAACTAGCTATGAAATGAGTTAAATGCAATGTTACCAACAAGCTTCATTCATTTTTTTTCTACTACTAAAGAAAGAGCTTAATCAAAACGATAGTAATGGTATTATATCGATAAATGAATTATTATTTTTAGATAATTATTATTATGTATATAGTATTATGTATAAAACTGAATTTTATATCTATAAACTCTTGTTAGATTTTTAAATATTCATAAATTTAATAAAGGAATTGTAAAACATTTGGATGATATCCGACATCTAGTAAAACATTTGAATTGAAAACTCATCTATCTGCAGCATGTCACGTAAAGAAATTATGATGATTTAAGAATATAAAAAATAAATTACAACTTTCAAAGTGAGCGTTCATATTTGCAATTAATTACTAGGTATTTATTTAAATAAATATTCAACATTTAATAGAAATATTTTCGATTTGCAGCAAACAACAGTAAAGGTGAAGTAAAAACGATGGCCGCTAAAAGTTATGTTAGACATAGGCGGGCACATTCACGGGCTCAAGTGTCGTCACGCGAGCTCTGGGTTGGGAACAGCTGACCTAAACACATGATTCCTGATAAAACTTAAAGCCTTCCTTTTCTTCGTTATTCAAGCTGGAGTATAACAAAAGGAGTTTATTTTGCTAAGTAAATGAATCTCTTAAGATTTTTATATAATAGAAGAATAACAACATTGATTCAAATGTAGCTGATACTTTTCTATAACAGTTACTTCTCCAGATTTAAAAAGCAACTGGCGGGGCTAATATACAAAAGACCTTGATTTCCCGGTCTCCTGTTAAGAGTTGAATTCATCACTAAAACCTGATAAATGTAATGATACCTGTATTTTGTTTTAATACAAATTTAGAAGTTGAAAAATTACGCCTTGATGACCAGGCTGGGTCCCCTTTGGAGCTCGGGCCCTGGAGGACTTTATAAACTTAATATGTAACATTATTTATATTAAAATTATAATAGTATGACTTACAAAGGACCCAATTTCACACCGGCCTCCTCTATATTTATTTGAGCTGATAATGGCACCCTTGTATAATCCATAATGACGGTATAGAAAAAATTTCTATAAGTACTACCATCTTCAAGCTTCACCTTGGCCTGTGGAAAGTAATTAGTTGATCATAATTGATATTGAAATAAGACATTAAAACTTATTAACTAATGTAATGTTTTATGTAAAATTCTTAAACAAAATGAAGGGAGCAAAAATTCAAATAAATGAATAAAATGATTTTCGCGATATCTTTAAAAGATTACAAAACAAACCCATAAATCTCTCAAATACTGGTAAATAACGAACAAGTCAAAGTCCTGTCAATTCATGACTGAGAAAAAGATAAGATCCCATAAATGCAAACAGGAGACAACACAGTTCATATTGATTCCATTAAGCTAATATAACTATCTATCCATTTTTATTCTGTAAATAAGTAGGAATAAATGTGATTTTTTGTTTTAATTGTTTATTTGTCTAAGTTTCAGAAAATTAGACAAATATCTATACATATACGAAAATGGCAAGAAAAATAAAATATGTATGGTTCAGTGGCGAAAAAATTCGATGCAGACAGTCAGAACGATATCCGATGGTAATTATAGGGAAACCTGGCGACTTGGAAGTTTTTAGTTGAATTTTATATATTTGTTTCCCAAAGTTGGTTTCAATTTTACTTTTTCTCAATAAAAATATTTGTATTTTATTCATTTTTATTTTCTACCTTCATTTTAGTACTAACGAGCTGGAATTTTATCTTTTCAACGATTATTACATGCTTAAATCAAATTTTGTTAAAAAATTGTAATATCCTATTGTCCATCCTTGATCCTTTTCCCTGTAATTCTTCTTCCCAACATCTCAATTATTACTAATATCTAAACTCCTGTCACGTCAATGCTCAATCCCTTAATGCCCACTTTGATGAATTTTAAAAATATTTCCTCGATAATTTTTACCACAAAATTTCAGTATCTGAAACCTTTTATTCCTTTCTCCCAAATTTCCCTCCTCAATCACTCTTACCTACGTCATGACAGATCTGATCGCACAGGGGGTGGTGTCGAACTATATGTACATAATAATCTCAAGGCCAAAATCCTCTTTGAGTCTCCTTTTCATGACCGCCCTCACATTGAATATTTATTTATTGAAATTACCTCTATTTCCTCTCCTTTATTGTATGTTGTTGTCTACCGCCCTCCTCGTGTTCTATTTGACCAACTCTTTGAATCCTCCCTCGTCAACCTGGTTTCCTCATCATATCATCATCTCCGGTGATTTTAATGTAAATTTGCTCTCAGAATTTCCCGAAAAACACTTCCTCAATGACCTAATATTTTCTCTTAATCTTTATCTTGTCCCTTATTCTGCCACTCATCACACTCAGTTCTCTGACCCATGGTTAGATCTTCACATCTCTGACTCACCCCTTAAGATCCTTTCCTTCTCTCAACACCCTGTACCCTTTCTGTCATCACACGCCCTGATTCAAATTTCGTAAGACCTACCCGTGAAATCATTTACTCCCAAAATAGTGTCATATCGCAATTTAAACCTAGTTTCATATGAATCCCTTAAACGTGACCTTGATTCTGTCCAATGGGATACCATATTTTACTATACCTCCATTGATCCTATGATATCCACCCTTACCTCAAACCTACAATACATATTAGACATCCATGCTCCTCTGATGATCAGAATCTTACGTCGTCCCACTGCTCCTTGGCTGACTCCTGAAATAAAGGGAATGATAAAGAGAAGGAATGCAACAAGGGGCAAGTACCGTCAAACCCGCTTACCTACTGTTATGCGTTTTTCAAACAACTTCGCAATGCAACCCAATCCACAATCCGACTTGCTAAATCCAACTACTTCCATAATGCCCTTTCCAATGCTCCCGATTCCAAATCAAAATTGAAAATACTTCGCAATCTATCCCTACCAGATTCCAATAACCTCATTTCTCTCCCTGTGACTCCAGACGATCTTAATGACCATTTCTTATCTTTTCTTCTAATCCTTCTACTACTCACGATATTGAACACCACAATTTCAATCCTGTAAACTTCTTTTTTTCCCATGTGTCCTACGACGAAGTACTTTCCACTATCCTAAAATCCCACACCAATAATTATGGTCCTGACAATATTCGAGTAAAACTAATAAAATCCAGCTTTCCAACCTTATTGAAGTACTTTATCATATCTACAACTATTCATTGCAAAATTCCATATTTCCCTCGTCCTAGAAAACTGCACTAGTCCGACCTTTGAATAAAACATCCAACCCTTCTTCACAGAACGACTCCCGTCCTATTTCTCTTCTTTCCAACCTCTCAAAACCACTGGAACACCTTGTCCAAAATCAACTTTCCAACTTCCTAGAAGAACGTTCCCTCATCAATCCATTCCAATCTGGCCTCCGACCCGGCAATTCAACGCAATCTGCCCCTCTTAAAATAACCCATGACCTCTAAAACTCCATTGAACACCAAAACCTTACTATCCTCATCCTTCTAAATTTTTATAAAGCGTTCAATACAGTTGACCATAACATCCTTCTTACCAAATTGCAAAATCTTCCTCTATCCAACAGTGTACTGCGTTGGTTCAAATCCTTACTTTCCGATTGATCCCAGTATGTAGTCGTACCAGATTAGACTCCATCAGTCTAAGACACTTCCTTTCTCCTGTGGTGTCCCTCAGGGTTCCTCCTTATCTCCTACTCTGTTTGCTATTTACATTAATGACCTTCCCATTCTGGTCTATCACTCCCAATACCACATCAATGCTGACGATTTCCAAATATACCTGTCCTTCCCCCCATCTGACCTATTAGCCGCCACAAAAAAGCTTCAAGAAGATTTAAATAGAATATATGACTGGGCAGGAGCTAACAAGCTGAACTTGAATGCGAAAAAGACCAAGGCGATCCTAATAGGCTCCAACCACCTCCTCAAAACTGTTCCTAACATTCCAACCTTGTTCCTACATGATAATCCCATCAAATTTTATCCCACCATCAAAAACCTTGGAATAATCTTCGATCAAACCCTTTCCTGGAAATGTATCCAATATCTCCCGACGTACCTTTTCCACACTAAAACACTTAAATAGCCTCCGACACCTCTTTCCTTTTGAAATCCGTAAACTCCTGGTGACCTCCTTAATATTTCCCCACTTCGACTATTGCTGCACGGTATATGGAGGCGTCTCTGGGGATCTCGAGGCGAAACTAAAACGTTTGACAAACTGCTTTGTACGATTCATCTTCGGGATTCCAAGGGATGCCCCTGTTCCCTGTTTCTATGAAGAGATGAAGTGGCTTTATCCTTCCTACCGTCTTAAGTATTTTCTGGCATCCTTCCTCTTCCAAGACATTCACTACCCCCGTCCTTCATACATCCCAGAGCTCCTTCAATTTAAATCCTCTGATATATCTGGGCCGATAATGGCCCACCGAACCGCTGCTTTCGATAAATCTTTTATTATTCGATCCTCATCCCTATGGAACTCCATCCCTCCCGACATCTGTCGGTTCAATACTCTCCCTACTTTTAAATCCCGCCTATTCAATCACTTTCTTTCCATCCAGTCACTCTAAAATTGCAAATAGAAACTCTGTAAATATGTATATATATTATTAGTTTATTTTCAATTCTTTTCATCTCATTGTTCTTTCTTTGGTTTATTTTTTCTTAATCGATTTAATCTAGAAGATAACTTCTTTTTATTTATTCTCTATTATATCTATTAGTTAACTTTTTAAATACATGTATATATATCTGAGGCTCAAAACCCCACATTTCTGTCCTTGTTAATTATTCTAAAGAGATTTGTCCCAGAATAAATAAAAGATTATTATTATTATTATATATATTGCAAATAAACTTCAAATAAACTGCAGCAAAACCAAAGTCGTATTCCGACCAAGTCTCAGATGTAAGAAGCGATCTTCACTCATACTAGATAAAGAAGCCATGGAATATATTAATAATGCATCTTACCATAGAGTACCCTTCTTAGTAAGCTTTGCTGAAACTGTTCGAATGTATTGCTACCAAAACTTGTTTTTACTGCATTCAGTAAAAAAAAAAAGGCTCAACATGTCGAACATCTAAATAACGTCTTTGACTGGTATTATCTTAGAAAGTTAGAAAAATCGTAAATCATATGCAATTTCAGTTGCTGTGGCCATGTTTTGCCCTTGTCCCTTAATCCGAAATTTCATAACCACATATGACCCCTCTCAATAATTTTGATGGCGCAAGTGCGCCATGTAACTCACTGCTGGAAATCCCTGGTTTTGGTGAAATTTGGAGAATTATTCAGTGATAAGGTCTAGAAGAAATGTGATATTTAGGTCGTGGTGTAGGGTTTTGTTGGTTACATAAAATGAAGCATCGGCTATTGTTCAAAGGATTTTGGACTGAAAGGATTGGATGCGTTTGGAGTTAAAAAATATTGCTATCACAGCAGTTTTAGTCTGTACGTCCTAACAGGTTTCAGATTGTCTTTTAGATCAGTAGAATACCACCATAAGTCACCAGAATACCCATCCTCTTACCGTCCTGTCTTTCTTGTACCCATCATGGGCAAAATCCTGGAAAAGCTCATCTTAAAACGCCTGTATCCCATCCTATATTCCAACCACATAATCCCTGATCACCAATTTGAATTCCCCACATCCCATTCCACTATCCAGCAATCCCATCGTGTGGTAGACGTTGTCTCCTCTGCATTGGAGCGCGGAATGTATTGCACTGGAGGCTTTCTTGACGTTTGATCGAGTCTGGCTCACGGGATTGCTTTACAAACTCCGTAAATTCCTCCTCCCAACATATTTTCTCACCATCAGTTCCTACCTTACTGATAGACATTTCAAAGTAAATCACAATAATTTATACAGAATGCTATGAAGTTACAATGCTCCCGATCCCGAAACGTACCTTACATTCAATGTCCATATAAAGATATTGAGATGTGTTAGTCAATTAAGAATTGCAAACCCAGAATATATCAGAACCTTCTGGTAACCACAACATCGAATCCATACTAAACATCAATTGTATAGATAAGTTAAATAAAATTTACTATTATATGATGGGAGTACACAAAATGCATACACAAAATTGTTGATCTTTGCCCATGTTCTATTAAGTGTTTCTTTTTAGTTTATCTTAAAAGTAATATTTTGTTTATATTTATAAATATTTTTATTTTTTATTGTTTCTATCATAGTAACAGGTTTATATAACTATTATTATGCAGTAATCGTTTTATGTTTTTAATTTTTATTGTTATTCATGTTTTGTGAAACCCATTCTAAACGTTAAATATTGTAAATTTTATTTATATTTAAATGATAGGTATGTAAATTTGTAAAACCATATTATTGTACAATAGCCAAGTTAGGCTCTATTTGTATGGGGAACCCCCCAAAAACAAATAAAATATCTATCTATCTATCTATCTAAGTAAATCACAATAATGCCTATTCATCCCTCTTTTTCAATCTGCTGGTGATCCTCAAGATAGTATCTTTGGTCCTATCCTTTACACAGTTTATACAGCTGTCCACCACGTATGCAGACGACACATGTATTCTTTCAGTTAATAACGATCCATCAATAGCATCCCAAACTCTTCAATCACACATCACAAACCTTGAAGACTGGTGTTAAAACTGGAGGATTAAAATAAATTACAATAAATCCCATCAAATCACCTTTACCCTTCGTCGTAAACCTATGACTTCCTCTCCTACAGTATCCTTTAATAACAACACACTTATCCCTGTTGAACAAATCCGATACCTAGGACTCCACCTGGACAGACGTCTCACTTGGAATCCTCAAACGAGACTGAAACGAAAAGAAACAGATCGACGTTTCCGCTTACTTCAACACTTACTAGACAAATGATCTAAGCTTCCAATTAATTATAAAAGACTCATATACATGACTATAATCAGACCTATTTGGAATTATGGAGTTGAGCTATGGGGCTCCACTAAACCATCGAATTCCTTTCGTATCTAATCCCTACAATCCAAAATCCTTCGTAAAATCCTTAATGCTCCTTACTTTGTCACAAATAAAATAATTCATAAAGACCTTAATGTTCCATATGTTTCCAATTTGGCTTAATCCAGATACCTATCCTTCCATAATAAACTTCATAACCATCCGAATCCTCTTGTTTATAACCTTGCTTCCTCTTCAATCCCGGATAATCCTTCGAGGCCTCTGAAAAGAAGGTAGCTGCGTGATCTCCTTTTGTAAACATTATTACAGTGCTACCAGTGGGTAGTTTATCAACAAGCATTTTCTTGTGATTATATTTCTGTGTACAGATTTACTTGAAGTATTTAAAAAAACAAACAAACAAAAAACAGTAATTTGTTGCTAGTTGGAAGTTGAGATATTCTATTCAGTAATCTGAATAGTTGCCATATCGTCGGTTAAATTCTTGTTTTTTTAAGTCTAGAATGTGGATTTTTCATTAGTCTTCGGTCTAAGGGAAAGCCAAGATACTGTAATGTGTCTGAAAAAGGAAGCTGGTTGGATTTAAAATGGACTGGAAGAAAGGACCTGCAGCGGAACGTAAAAGTAATATGTTTGCATTTGGATTCGTTTACTTTAATGCGCCATATATTACACTAGTGCTCAATTAGGGAGACGTGCCTTTGCAGATTTAAGGCAAGATCTAAGTTAGATGATAGGATGACGGTGACATCAGCAAATTTTTCATAATGGTATCGGGAAGGACATAAAGAGAATATAAAGGACGGGATTCAAAACGCTACCTTGAGGAACGCTACCGGCCTCAAATGGAAAGTAACATATGTTTTAAAAGAAAAAAATAGAAGAACTGAATAGGTACGTAAGATTTTAACATTACTTATTTTTGTCTCTCAAAACTTCATATATCTGGTTGCCGGGCAACTCGCGGTGCTGTGCACACGCTTTAGCTCATTCGGCCACCCCGCCCCCAATTTTAGTTTCTTAATTGACTCTACTACTGAGGTGTTGTTGTGTATACAGAATACAAATACAGAATTTAGGGTTATGAAAAACGAATTGAATTTTACTGACTCTACTACTGAGGTGTTGTTGTGTATACAGAATACAAATACAGAATTTAGGGTTATGAAAAACGAATTGAATTTTACACTCTAACTTTCTCCAATGTCCTTCGATATAATTTAAAAGTCTATTCTTTTCGAAAACATTCTACTAAAATCATTAATTATTCCGATTTAAATACATAAATTTAACTCAAAATAGTTTAGAATGATTTACATTTACCTTATACCCTTCGTCCGTTTCCTGAATATACATAAGGCTTGAAATTTTTAGAAAGGTGACTCGAAGGTGCCTAAAGCTTTGTATTACCTTCTCTATGGATTCTTGATCGTACTTTGATAACCATTGGGTGCATTTATTCTGAATAAAAGCAAATAAGTTGTTATGACTAAAACTAAATGAAATTTAACTTTTATAAGATTAGTTAGATAAATATCTTTGAACTAAAAAAACAAGAAAACAAGCGTTATTTGACTACTTTGAAAAAATGTTTTTAATGAACATTAAAGATAGTAGAATGAGTCATAATACAAATAAATAGTTCGTCTAATTCAACATACCATAACAGTGACAGCTCCACCATAAGAGGCAATCAGATAAGCCGTTTCGAATACTTCCGGTGTGTTGCCGATTATCAGTGCTGTTGGAGGGCACTCTTCCTCGTATAAAAAATTGTCGAGGGTTGCACAGAGTTCGAATCCGGGAAATTCTACAATTCTAGGAAGGGAACCACCGCATATTATAAAATTCATTCCAATTATTTTTGTTATTCGGGTTTCACGGTACTCTTCATCGTCAGTATCGCTGCTGCTGCTGCTGCTGCTGCTGCTGCTGCTGCTGCTGGTACTGCTGCAACTGAATGTGATAGTGCTGAAAGAACTGCAACTGCACGAAGAAGTCGAAGAATTCGAAGAGCTCGAAGAACTCGAAGAGCTCGAAGAACTCGAAGAGCTCGAAGAACTCGAAGAACTCGAAGAACTCGAAGAGCTCGAAGAACTCGAAGAACTCGAAGAGCTCGAAGAACTCGAAGAGCTCGAAGAACTCGAAGAGCTCGAAGAACTCGAAGAGCTCGAAGAACTCGAAGAGCTCGAAGAGCTCGAAGAGCTCGAAGAGCTAGAAGAGCTCGAAGAGCTAGAAGAGCTGGAAGATTCTGAAGAGCTGTCAAAGATGTCTAACCCGTCCATGCTTGTTACCTATAATAGTAATAAAGCAAAGATTATTGTCAATATCACAAATTCGGATTAATAAAAAAATGTGTAAACTTGCTATATGTGGAATGATTAAGTCAGCACCTGGAGTGGAGTGGGGTTATCCAAAGGTTGGGAAAAAAGTCCCAATGTTTTATGTTTATTTTAAGTAACAATGAATAATGTAGTGAAACAGATCAGCACAATGTTAAATTATTTGTAAAGGTAAATATAGCGTTATGTATTTTTGAAGTTCATTCATATTCACTTCTCTTACCTCATTTATTCTATCTCATACTCCTCTCTTTTTACTTCGAGCTTTAAAAATCCCAAAAGACTCCACTTGACAGAGCCCAAAATTCATGAAGCTATATGGAGGAACATTTCTGATAATAGAAAAGTATGGCCAAACCTCCTATTTATTAGCAAATATTGATAAAATAAACACTCTACTCATAACTATGTCTGTAAACCTAAATTCTCCAACGCTTTTAGAAACAAACACAACTCCACACACCCACTGTCAGAAAGAATTTATTCAGTAGTTCAATTTCTTAAGAATTTGACCTCTGTGCACAACAGAACTCAAAACCTACCTTGGACTCACAAAACTCCCAAAACAATGCTCCATCTCTCTCGAGATTACTTAAAAGAAATACGTTACCTTCCGTTATAAATCCGCATTTTCAGGTCTTCTACAAAATATTCCAGTACCATTCTTAATTTATACTGACAGAAGGCAGTGGATCAGCTGATACGAAGGACGTGTTCTGAAATCTTCTCTCAGTTGTTGCCCATTTTTCAGCGGAATCTCTTTGATTATTTACAGAATATAGTTGAAGTGTACACCAGAGCAGTTGTTATTTACAGTTTGCTACATTTGTTTTTTATTTTTTTTTTTTTTCTTCTCTTATGATATGCGGCATTGTCAGCCAGTGATGTCCAGTAAGGTGCCCACTAAGAGGACTCGGTCAGACGGAGTTAGTACCCCTCGTGATTCACCAGTGAAACAAAAAACTCGTCGCTGCCTGCGAGAAATAGCTCCAATAACCACAGTGAAAACTTCAGATACAGAACCTCAGCCTCAACCAGGTACCTCTTCGCAAGAAATGGTTGAAGAATCTCCTTTCTTCACTCCAAACCCGTTCCAAGTGCTTCATAATGACAGAGAAGTAATGGAGTCAGCAGCAGTACCCAGGGAACCAAGGCCTCCTCCGATATTTGTAAAAAATATCAAAAATTTTCAACTACTGTGTACACAGCTAAACGAAATCTGCTCCGGCAGTTATTCTTGCCTCAACAGGACCAACGACACAAAAATAACACCTGATACTGCAGAAGCCTACCGAAAAATTGTGAAGTACCTGTCAGAAACGAATGCAAATTTGTACGTGTGGAAACAGCTGAAACAGGAGAGATCGCTACGAGTGGTGGTAAGAAATTTACACTCCTCAACCCCAACTGAAGTGATAAAAGAAGAACTAGCGACGCTTGGTTTCAAAGTGCGTCAGGTAACCAACGTTCTGAAGGAGAATAAGGAGCAGCCAGGAGTGAGTAATAAAGTTCCACTACCTTTATTTTTCGTGGATCTAGAGCCATCACCTGGCATTGAAAAAATATATGATATCAAGAGATTGTACTACACTATCGTGAAGATAGAGAAGCCATACCCCAAGAAGGAAATTGTGCAGTGCCACAATTGCCAGGCGTATAGCCACACGAAAACTTATTGTCACCATCTGCCGCGTTGCGTGAAATGCGGTGAACAGCACAAATCTGTGGAGTGCACCAAACCAATACAAGATCCTGCAGTGTGTGCACTATGCCAGGAGGGACACCCGGCCAACTACAAAGGCTGCCAAACCTATAAGAGCCTCAAATCCAGATACCAGAAGAACCGGATTGAAGATGAGACAACCAGACCAAGAAGAGAACCTTCTAGAATTGTTAACAATAATTTATCATACTCCGAACTACTTGGAGGTAAGAACCCCAATAATACATGTGAAGCCCTGCCGCAGCAACTACCTCAGCCCCAATCTCAATATTCTGTTCATCCTAACACACATAATCATCAACAACCTCAAATTCCTCATATTCCTCCTCCTTCAAATGCAACAGATCTCACTAGTTTGTTAGCATCTTTCCTAACCGATTTCAAATCCCTAGTCACTCCACTCATATCACTCCTTACAAATCTCGTATCTCACCTCATCCCTCCTTTGAAAAATCCTTAATGAGCCACATCCCAAAACCCATGTCCATTCTCCTTTGGAATGCGAATGGTGTTAGAAATCACGTTGACGAACTAACAGCTTTACTACAAGACAAGAACATTGACGTAGCCCTAATTACAGAAACTCGACTGACCATAAAACAGCATTCAAAAATCCCACAGTATTTAACATACCGTACTGACCACCTTGATGGCAGAGCACATGCCGGCACTGCTGTCATCGTACACCAATCCCTCTCCCATCACTTACTCCCATTACCTACTCAAGATTTTCTACAGTCAACCGCTATTGTAATCAAAGCCTTCTCCTTTCCAGTCACCCTTGCATCAGCATATTGCCCTCCTAACAGATCCATATCCAAAGTCCAGTTCAGTTCTCTCCTCAACTCCTTAGGTCATCATTTCATCCTGGGTGCAGACTTAAATGCCAAGCATCAAGTTTGGGGTTCAAGAACCACGAATTCTCGTGGCAGAACATTTCTGTCTGCACTCAATACCCAACGTTTCAGTCTTCTTCCACCCAACTCACCTACCTACTGGTCCACAGATCCTAACCGCAATCCCGATATCCTTGATTTTTTCATCCACAGTGGCTTAGGGCCCCTCAATCATTCCCTTACCCTTCTTGCCGAACTATCCTCAGATCATAGTCCATTATTACTCCAATTATCTCTAGTTCCTATTCCTAAGTCTTCTCCACCGTCCTTCATCAGAGGCCCAGTTAACTGGAAACTCTTTCACCAAATCCTTACCGATAAAATTGACCTCAGAATGACCCTGAAAATCCCAGATGACCTTGACAATACCGTACACTTTTTTACCACCACTATCCAACAAGCAATCTGGACTGCTTCCTCTCCAAACCACTCCTCAAGAACTCCTAAGAAAAATAAGTTACCTCAACACCTCATAGACCTAATCCATACCAAACGCCGTGCCAGATTATTATGGCAACGTACTAGACACCCCACCGATCGCCAATCCTATAATTATTTTTGCAAAAAACTAAAGATAGAATTGGCCACCTTCAGATCCCAATCCTTCAACTCCTACCTCACTTCCCTCTCTTCTCATGACAATTCCCTATGGAAGACCACCAAACATATCCTAAAACCCCATCACATATCACATCCTCTCCGTCGAGGTGATGGCTCTTGGGCAGCATCTGACGAAGATAGAGCCGAAGAATTCGCCAAAAACCTTTCCCTTACATTCACCTCTCATCCAGAATCCAATCCCACCCACACGTCAGCAGTAGAGGAATTCCTTAATTCACCCATCCCACTCTCCTTACCGCCTAAAGCAGTTAATCCTTCTGAGGTCAAATTCCTTTTACAAAAACTACCTACCCGTAAATCACCTGGATACGACCTGCTTACCTCTCAGATCCTTAGACAACTCCCTCCTAAAGCTGTCATATTCCTTACATACATATACAATAGCATCCTACGAACCACCCACTTTCCTCTTTTGTGGAAACATTCCACTATTATCCTGTTTCCGAAACCAGGCAAACCTCCCAACACCTCAACGTCCTACAGACCAATTAGCCTTCTTCCTATTCTCTCAAAAATCTTTGAAAAGATCCTCCTAAAACGCATCCTACCCTTTATAGAATCCCAAACTCTTCCTTCCCATCAGTTCGGATTTCGTTCACAACACTCTACAGTCCAACAAGGACTCCGAGTGGTTGATCATATTTCCGCAGCATTGGAAAGCAAGCAATATTGCTCGGGTGCATTTCTGGACATAGCTCAAGCTTTCGACCGGGTATGGCACGCCGGGCTTCTTTCCAAGCTGAAAAACTATCTTCCTCAGTCCTTGTACCTTGTTCTCCGTTCCTACCTCTCAGATCGTACCTTCCGAGTTCGTTGCGGTACTGAATTTTCGCATTGCTATCCAATTGAGGCAGGTGTTCCTCAAGGTAGCGTATTGGGTCCCGTCCTTTACATCCTCTTTACCGCCGATATCCCTGTCCATCCCGATACCTTCCTGGCAACTTTTGCTGATGACACCGCTATTCTATCATCCGACTCAGATCCCAACATAGCATCCTTAAATCTCCAAAACCACCTCACCTTGATTGAGCACTGGTGTAATAACTGGCGCATTAAAGTTAATGAATCTAAATGCCAACACATTACCTTTACACTCCGACGCAGTTCCTGTCCACCAGTACACTTTAATTCCATCCAGCTTCCTTACTCAGACACAGTCCGGTATCTTGGCTTTCATTTAGACCGAAGACTGACGTGGAACCCACATACTAGACTCAAAAGACAAGAACTCAACCGACGATACGGCCAGCTATACAGACTACTAAACAGAAAATCCAAACTTTCTATTGAAAACAAATTACTTATCTACAAGACAATACTGAAACCTATATGGACATACGGACTTGAACTGTGGGGTACAGCAAAAGCTTCTAACATCAAACGTATTCAATCCTTTCAATCTAAAGTCCTTCGAACAATAGTTGATGCTCCGTTCTATGTAAATAACAAAATCCTACACCATGACCTTAATATCCCATTTGTCCTAGACCTTATTCCAGAAAAATTCTCCAAATTTCACCAGAACCTTACCTATCATCCAAATCCCCTTGCACAATCTCTATCCAGCACCACCCATCCTTACAATCCTCCTCGAAGGTTGAAGCGGCAGTGGCCCAGAGACCTTTTGTAAATAAGCATCTATTGGAGTTTTGGCAATGGCCAGATCCTCCACTCAAGCCCGAGTGTGTATGATTAGGTTAGTTCTTTTGTTT